ACGGTACTACTTTTACTACTTTACTACGTTACTTACTTTACTCTTGACTACGTTACTACTTTACGACTTTCCTACGACGCCGTTGACGAACGGGTAAGTTACGGTACGAATTTACTACTACTACTACTACTACTTTACTACTACTACTACTACTACTACGACTACTTACTACGACTACGACTACTACTACTTACTACGACTACTTACTACGACTACTTACTACGACTACTTACTACGACTACTTACTACGACTACTTACTACGACTACTTACTACGACTACTTTCTACGATTACTTACTACGACTACTTACTACGACTACTTACTACGACTACTTACTACGACTACTTACTACGACTACTTACTACGACTACTTACTACGACTACTTTCTACGACTACTTTCTACAACTACTTTCTACGACTACTTACGACGACTACTTACGACGACTACTTACGACGACTACTTACGACGACTACTTACGACGACGACGACGGACTACTACTACTACTACTACTACTACGACTACTACTACGACTACGACTACGACTACGACTACGACTACTACTACTGCTACTGCTGCTACTACTACTATACTACTACTACTACTACTACTACGACTACGACTACGACGACTACTACTACTACTACTACTTCTACTACTACTACTACTGCTACTACTACTACTACTACTACTACTACGACGACTACGACTATGACTATGACTACGACTACGGCTGCTGCTGCTACTACTACTGCTACTACTACTACGACGACGACTACTACGACCACCACCACCACAGCTACAATTATAATTACAGCTACACTACATTACACTACGATACACTGATTAAACTGCCGTACGTTATAGCTACAAATACAACTACAACTACACTACATTACACAACACTACGCTACACTATATAATTATATACATTGCATTGCACTACAACTACAACTACACTACTTTACGCGCAATACCCTAGTCCACACTACACGATACCACGCTTCCGTACACAACACTACAGTTCTCTTCAATACACTACACTCATTGCACCACACCACAACTACAACTGCAACTGCAACTACGCTACACTAATTACGAGTGCTGGATCTTTCGCACCCCTTTTGACATGAAGTCACCCCACTGCAAGGCACAACGCGAAAAATAAAGTCACCCCACGAAATCAAGAAGTCACCCCACCATTGGCAAATCACCAAGGCACAACATGCCCAAGTTTAATCGAACTTTGTGATATCGGTCTAGAATCTCGTCGTGCCTTTGCATTATGCCAAATATACGTTCTCAAAATCATTATTTATTGATCAACCGGCCATTGGCACAACAGGTTAGACAATCAAATCCTTTGAAGTTATTAAGCTATCTTTCTGTGCTCATTCAGAAGGGGTTACATACACTAGCCTAGCGACCTTATATTACATTGCACTGTAAGTTCCGACTGAAACATACTAAGCGTACACGCTAAATCTGCAGGAAATGGAAGCCTCAAATATTGTTGCCTATACTATAGGGTATACCGCTGGTCCAAACTGGTTCAAATGTGGCTTGTGTTTGTGTCAGGATGTGGGGGAAAAAAACGAGACCTAAAACGAGACCTCTGGGAGACAAAACGAAACCTATAGGCACTCTACTCATGTGCTCTGCTCTCCTCTCCTCTCCTCCCTTCCCCTCCCATCCCCTCTCCTCTCCTCTCCTCTCCTCTCCTCTCCTTTCCTCCCCTCTCCTGTCCTCACCTCTCCTCTCCTCTCCTCTGCTGTAAATTCTCTACTTTACCCTACTCTTCTTTACTCTACTCTTCCCAACCCACCTCTACTCTATTCTACTCTTCTTTGCTCTGCTCCTCTCTACTCTTCTTTACTCTACTCTTCGCAGTAAGGTGAATTCAAGTTTGAAGCCCTTTGCCCCATCTGTATAAGGCGTTCCTTCTTGCGCCATTACAAGGATTAAAATTATTTTGCGTTTAGCGATCTTTTTGTCTGATGAATTATTTTGCGTTTAGCGATCTTTTTGTCTGATGAAAGTGGGCAATCTACACAAACGACCCTGCAGGCATAAGGATTCCCCAAATGAATCCCAGTCCCAGTCCAAAGCATCGTGCCACTGCGATTTGCATCAAAAACTCAACATGCCCAAAACATATGACTAATCTGGGATGAGGTGTCTAACAGCACTTCCCATAGGCACGACGGTTGCGAGACGACTTCTCGTAAAATGAGACGAGTAAGGTCTACTACCCAGTACATTACATTACAACTACAACTTGCAACCACAACTCCACTACGCTACAACTACAGCTACACCTACAACTACAACTACAACTGCACTACACCACACTACATCCAGCAGTTGTGGTAAGGTCAAAACACAACTCCAACCACCTTTCGGTCCATCAGTGGATTCACTCTGCCATCCGTGATTCACAACAACCAACCGCTCCTATAGGTTTCCTGTTTTTGAAACTTCCGCCACCGCCTTGTGCGTTACTACTGGTATCTTTGGACGCCAAAAAAATAAACTCAGGTGCTATCCCCAACAGCTTGAAAGCCTCTGCTTTTTCAATTTTTGTCACAGTGGATTTAGTTTTTGCAATGATTGGTATTGGACGCCAATTTCCGCTTTGGGCAAACATCTCAAAAAGACATCACAAAAACACAAAACAATTTTCTCAAAACATCTCAAAGACACCGACCAAATTTCTTAAACATGCCAAAGACACAAAACAAAGTTCTCAAACATCTCAAAGACGGAACAAACATCTCAAACACCTATAACCGTAACAAAGGGATCTCATACGTGTACTTCATGATAAAACTGACTTTCAAAAGTGCTGTAACGCATTCAAGGGACATAGATCTCACACGTATTGTCTGCATTTACAATCATCACTATCAGCATCTGAATGTCACTGAATGTCAGTGCGTGTGAAATACAGAGAAACGGGACACTAAGCAAAACCACCATTTAGTATGATGTTGCACATGGACATATGAAAAAATACCCATGAAAAGCTGTGCCTATCCCTGGTCACCTGGTCTCTGCGCCTGCCACCCGTGCAGTTTACCAGAGTGATGGTTGCATCCTTGGTCTCTGCGCCTGCTACCCGTGCAGTTTACCAGAGCGTTTGTCATATCTTCTGCGCCTGCCCCCTGGCAGTTGGCCAGGTTGATTTTCAAAATGTTGGTGTCTACGCGTGCCGCCGGTGCAGTTCAGCAGATTGCTTGTCGGATCCCTGGTCTCTGCGCCTGCCACCCGTGCAGTTTACCGGGGTTTTCGCCCACAATGTAGTGATGGTTCAATATGACGCTGCAGGTTTCGTCGGTCATGTTGTGTTGAGTGGTTCTCACGCTGGCTTGTCCCTGAGATTATTCCCTTTGCCTTCCCATGTTGTTTGTCATGCATTTGTTTCGGCGCGGGCTGCGCTTGATGGAACAGGTTATGCGTCGAATTCAGCGTTGTCAGTTGTTTTCGTTTGCCAAGGTTTTTTGCGGATCTAGTTTTTCCAATGATTGGTATTGGACATTAATCTCATACATGTGTTTCATGATAAAACTGTCTTTCTAAAGCGCTGTAACGCATCCAAAGCACATTGATCAAACGTATTGTCTGCATTTACAGCTATCACAATCAGTATCTGAATGTCAGTGCGTGAAACACAGAGAAATGGGACACTAAGCAAAACCACCAATTGAGCATTGCGTGCAATCGTACTTTGATTCGACGCCAATCGTGTTATACTGAGTCGCTGTCACCCACGTCTCTGCTGTTTTTAACCCATGATGTCGTAATGGTTCGAGATGACTCTTCAACTTTCGTCGGCCGTCTACTTGTCAATCGTCTGCAAGCCCGCGTGTGTTAAGATTGTTGTCTTTACGTTGCCGTTTCGTTCCTTCAAAGTTTTGTTTCGGTTTGCAGAGTGCTTGGTCTCACCATTTATGCATCAACTTCTTTTTGCCACGCCCTGCCCCCTCCTGCAAATTAAAACTACAAGTATATGAGTGCATCATATACTGCGTTTAAATGCTTTTGCCCAGAGAAAAAAGCTTATGCCAAATAAAAACCTCCGAACCCTTTGCAACTTCACAAAGCATCTGCACCCGAACTTTCCAGAACCTTACCAAGTACCTGCACCGGAACCCTCCAGAACCTCACCGGCTATCTGCACCGGAACCCTCCAGAACCTCACCAGGTATCTGCATCGGAACCCTCCAAAACCTCACAAGGTACTGTATCTGCACCGAAACCCTCCGGAACCGCACCAGGTACCTGCACAACTTTCTAGAACCTTACCAAGTAGCTGCGCCGGAACCCTGCGCAACCTCACCGGCTATCTGCATTGAAACCCCCTGAAACCTCACCAGGTATCTGCACCGGAACCTTCCAGAACTTCACCAGGTATCTGCACCGGAACCCTCCGGAACCTCAACACGGTATCTGCACCGGACCCCTCCGGAACCTCAACACGGTATCTGCACCGGACCCCTCCGGAACCTCACCGGAACCCTCCGGAACCTCACCGGAACCCTCTGGAACCTTCTGGAACTTCACCAGGTATCTGCACCAGAACCCTCCGGAACCTCACCAGGTATCTGCGCCGGAACCCTCCAGAACTTCACCAGATATCTGCACCGGAACCCTCCGGAACCCCAACAAGTATCTGCACCGGAACCTTCCGGAACCCTCCGGAACGTTCCGGAACCCTCCAGAACCTTGCCCGAAACCCGGTGTTGAAGCTGCACCGGATCGCACCAGAACTAATCTTGGCTAAAGACCCCATAGAAAAGTTTTTCTGTTGGGGAACAAACCGTAGTTTGTAATACCTGTAGCACGGGGTGGAGAAAGGACAAGAAAACAGCCATTTAAACGCAAGCAAGAATGAAAATACTGAAACCGCAGACCGACCTACAAACCCTTACAACCGCCAACACCTTGGCTTTGTGGCAGCATGTCTTGCAAAATGCTCAAAGTAACCACAACGAGCTGCATTACAAAGGTAGGGCTCCTGATGCGCTCAGCAACCGCGCCACTGACCTGAGAATTTTGGGCAGCTGAGGCACATTGAGGCACCTACATGTCTGCACCAACAATGACTCCTGCTTTCAGCTTTGGCTCGATACAGAGAGTACACTGGGAGTGTTACACTGCTTTTAGCCAAGAAAGCACTGTGGTTTCATGGGCGATTATCGGCTCCCCTGCTCCGGGCTCACTGCAAACAGCTTTCTTTGCAACATTTTGCAACCTGGTCACAATGCTAGTGGTTGTGGTGCAGAAGGCCCATTGGAAAAAACATTGCAGCATTCTCCTTAGCATTCAAGGACCCCGCCCTCGCAAGATGCTGTGCGCCGGGGGTTCTCGAAGAGTTCTCTATGTTTTCAAAGCATTGGATTCATTGGATCCGCACGCTTTTCAATTCGTCCCATGTCTCCATATGACTGGTCTGACTGGTCTAGATCCTTCTAAGTGCACCAAGATGCGAAGTACAAACCCCGCCATCACAATTGTCTACTGGTTGAATGCCATTGCTTGTGTGTTTCAGCAGGTCCGACGCAAAGAAGCCTAAGCCAGCCAAATGCAGGAAACCACAAGAGCTAAATTGCAAGTTTCTAGAGCCCCAAAATTCTGAGATCTGAAGGCATCTATCTCTCTAGGAAAGTTGTCGAAGGAAGTTTAGAAGTCAAACTTCCGACAATATGGACAGATGAAAAGCAGAGCAGGGCAGAGGCAGAGAGAAGAGAAAGATTAGAAGAGAGAAGAGTAGAAGAGAAAGAGTCAGAAGAAAGAAGATGCAGATGCGCGAAAAGGTAGGAAAGTCGCGAAACACTTGTGTTTTTCCAACTGATTTGTGGCTCCGGAGGGTCGAAAAGTAGGCTCGCTAAAGCGGCGGGTGCGGAGGCAGCTGGCCAGATGAGAGATGAAAAATTGCACGCCGTTGTTGGCGCGAAGCACATTTCGAAGTGAAAAGGTACAAAACACCTGGGTCTCGGACCACGTTTGGAAGTTGCGATGTCGAAAAAGTGCACGCCGTTCTGGCGCGAAGCACATTTCGAAGTGAAAAGGTACAAAACACCTGGGTCTCGGACCACGTTTGGAAGTTGCGATGTCGAAAAAGTGCACGCCGTTCTGGCGCGAAGCACATTTCGAAGTGAAAATGTACAAAACACCAGGGGTTCGGACCACTTTTGGAGGTTCAGATGTCGAAAAAGTGCACGCCGTAGTGGCGCGACGAACATTTCGAAGTCAAAATGTTAAAAACACAAGGGGTTCGGACCACTTTTGGAGGTTCAGATGTGGGGAAAGTGCACGCCGTTGTGGCGCGAAGCACATTTCGAAGTCAAAATGTTAAAAACACAAGGGGTTCGGACCACTTTTGGAGGTTCAGATGTCGCTTCGCTTCGCTTCACTACACTACACTACATTACACTACACTACACTCCACTACACTACAC